TCAACCCGGGATTGAAATGTCGTCGGCCGGTCGCGTCGCTTCGTAATTACCTATTTATTAAGTTGCGTTTCGTCTGGAATTATCAATACGTAATGAACTTCGTCTCGACACTGCTGTCGCGAATGACTTCCTCTTCCGACAATAATATTACGGTCTCTGCCACGAACGAAGAGCAAAGCAGGTTCCTCACAGGATAAATTCTCGCGCAAATAGTAATTCCTTTACACAATTATTTCGTCCTTTTACCCGGTATTAATTAGCTGTATTAAATTGAACCTCTATTTCAGAAAATTATTTAAACAGATTATTACGCAAGAGAAATATACCCACACACATACATAAGTATATCATTCAAGGATTTAATTAAAAAATTATTAGATTACCCACGGGCGCACAGAGAAGTGAAGTGGTCCATCGAAACAAAAGTTTTCATGATTACAAAGAGAAGACAAAATACAGGAATGGTAATAAATTCACCATTCATGTCATAAGTTACGACCAAAAATTTAACTTTTAAAACAGCGAAATTCTGTTTTCTTTTTTTTTTATTGTATTGTAAAATCGACAGTATCACAATGTTGCCACAGGCTTCTTCACTCCTTTGCATTTCCCGAAAATCGTTTCTGCCTCTAATAGTAGTGTCCCTAGACAAAAATTTTCAGTCTCTCCATTCTCTCAGTCTTTCAGCGTCTCTCACAGTCTCTCAGTTATTGTCTAGGTGTTTTTATCGATCTCTTACAGTCTCTGTATGAGAGACTCCAACGATAAAATTGTTAATTCAGAGGTTCGAGTCTCTCACAGAGAGAATGAATGAATAAAACTGAAAAAGTGAGAGACTCGAGTCTCTGAAATATGTTGAACGTAGAAAATTTTAACCATGTATATCGAGAAATCACTTATTGAGAGATTTGAGTGTATTGTTCAGAGATTCGAGTCTCTCGTTCAGAGTCTGGATACGAAATGAGGATCTCTCTGAGCGACTCGAGTCTCTCATTCAGAGACGCTAAACAGTTTTTTTGACAGTCTCTCTCAGCGACATCAGAGAGACTCGATGAGAAACGGAGACTCGAGTCTCGCTTTCAGAGACTCTGAGAGACTGAGCATTTTTATCTTGGGGTCTTATCATCCTATCTGACTTTTCTCGGTTAGTTCTCCAAATAGACTCTTTCAATAATCCTTTCCGAACACATATTTGAATTTCTCATTTTCGGAAAGCCGACCCTTCAAATGGACGATGTGTTAGAGCTTACACGTTAAATACATTTAACGGTATCGGTAATGCATGTATCATTGTAATGACTAGACAGCAGAGGACGTCCGTCGTCTTGGTGGTGAGAGTCGGAAGGGAATAAAAAAAAACTCATTAGACAAATTGACGATGCCCGTTACATCAACGGCTTCGTTAACGTTAGCGAAGCCGTCAGTTAATACCTTAATTGACGTATTGGCGTCACTTGTAATATCGACAGGTATATGGCGATCATTAAACGAAACCCTCTGACTGGTAACGCGACGCGACACGACACGACGCGACGAAAGCACAAGATCATAAACGAAGGTATAATTATAGGTATCTACAACCATTAAAAACATATCCGTATGGTTAAATGAAGAAACGATTTGACTGTACCATAGGCCAAACAGCATCCTATCAGGGATTGTGATTCTTCTCGGATTTTTAAGCTTTTCAAATGGGCAGCTACTTCACAAATGTGAGACTTTACTAAGCACTCAATTTTATCCTTTGAGTTTTAATTGTTCATATGCTTTCTCTATTCACATTTTCTTCCGTTTTCGTATTCACTGTGCGAAGTCTCAAAACGAAGCAGAACGAAAAAAGAAAGGAAAGGCGACGCCGTCCTGTCGACGGGTATGATAGTGTAGTGGTAGTGACAACGAACGCCCATGGCGAGAAACAGCTGTGTAAACAACGGATAAAAGACAGACCGACCGACAGGCCCTTCTTTCAAACGCCGCTTTTATTTTGCATAGAAACGCTATTATCCACGATGTTTCTCTGCTATTAACTTTTTTTTTTAATAACGAAAAAGTGCGGCTTCTACGGCACTGCTTCCGCCTCGTTTCCAAATGAAAAGAATTTTTTAACGACAGACGGCGAAGCGAATAAGACTTTCAGAAAACATGCCAATAGAAAACAGTGTTATACTTGGATAGAGATTATTGAAGGGATTGAATTCATTAACAATATCGACCAGTTTATCTGCTAGAAAGAGGGAGAAGGCTGAATAAACGTTGTTGCTGTCGCGTTTAATTGAAAGTGATCAAAGAAAATGACATGCCACGTTTTAGGTAGCTAAATTATTTGTAACGGTTATGGCAAAACGTTCACCAATTGGTGAAAAAAAAAAATTCACGTCTATATCTGAAAATTTCTCTGAAAACTAACCGAAATCTTTTGAACAGCTTTAAGTTGCATTGATAGTACTGGAATTAATTTATTTTTGAGTCTTCCTCCGTTTTTGGCTTCAAAATTTAATTAACAAATACTAATCCCTATTTTATTTCCATTAAACATTACATAAACTTCTAATCCTGAGTTCTTCCAACTCGAAACTACATGTAGCATGGCTATTAGTTCTATTTCTTGATAAACATCAATTAAAAGAAACTTTTTTCCTGATTGATTGCCCAAAACACAACTATTTTATCAAGCCAAGCAATTAATGAGAAGCCAAATTTCGTAAACCGATAGAAGAAACGAAAATAAAGAAGAAATTGAACAGCAAATGATGGATGACGGTTACGTGGTCGAAAAACATTACAGATCATTCGGAAAAGCGCTACAAATCATCGGTTGTTGAATTCGAAAGAGATGGCCATTAATAAGTAATAAACCGCTTCGGGGTAGAACACGTTTAGTATTAGAATTCCATTCCGATCCTCCCCATCAGCCATTATGGATATATACACACATTAATTCAGCAGAGGTACCTTAACATCTTGTTACGGATATCGGGAAGTAAAGGGCCTATTGTGCGTCCAATTATTTTCCTGGCGCATCGCCAGTAAACAACAAAAATTACGCTTACGTGTTACGCGAATGTAGTACGTATTCTCTGACGTTTAATGAACACTACTTGTAACCCTTATAAATATTCTTTGAAGTAACCGCAACTCTCAGCATGACATAGTAATTAATAATCAACTCTCGAATAATTAATTGTTATTTTTGAATAAAACCTTCTCAGTAAATACAGGGCGATCAAAACAAAAACTCAAGATGAGTGAATAGTACAAAAAATTACATGTACAAGTAAAAATTACAATTACAAAAAATTATTATAAGCCATTTTTCTATCTGTTTGTTATTATAAAACGCAATAGGTATATCTATTTTCAATATTTCTATTATTATGATAACATGAAGATATTACAGTCCCCATATGCTATAAATTGAATGACACATGTTATATAGAACCTTGCTATTAATTTGTTGAGGTTCGGATCTATTATTTTGGAGCCTAGCTACGATATGTTACCCCTTTATTCCAAAAAAAACGATAGAACTAGAAATTAGCAATATTAAAACTCAAATTTTATATTTTGAGACAACGAGAAATACCCTTACAGTTTTGATAAAAGAATAAGTACTTACTAAAACATATATCTCAATATATAAGTGTAATTTCAGACCGTAACTTATCAAAAAGCATGAACCCCCAACGATGTTTTCTACATCAGTTCCAATTCTACTTACGTTTAAAATCTAATTATCGCCTAATTTTGCATAATTGTTTTAATTCAAATTTTCTTGTGTGAACAAAAAACATTTTAATAATTACTAAGACAATGTTCTATCGTTAAGACCGATTTAAAACTGGATTATATTCGGTTTCTAATTTTGGATACTGAATTTTACGGAATCCGTCTTGTCCTAAATTAGACAACTTTTATGTGATTGAAACAAAAAACATCACCGATAGCAATATTTGTTTCAATCACTTAGGCATATGCTATAACTTTTAATAAACAAATGTCTGTATCACTTACTTCTGAATAACAGAACTGTGCACTTCATAAAAAATCACTTTATCTGAGAGACCTTTTGTTGTGTGAGTTCATTTACAAAAAAAAAAAAATTAACGGGCTTTGAAATAACACAGGCAACTAGCCAAAATGAGGCGATTTTACTCTGCCTGGTAATAATGGTTGTTCTTTTTTAAACGCCCTGTATTTTCAGAAACGTGACCTTTACACCCGTAATATTTCAAGACATAACATGAATAACTTACTTGCGGACAGTAAGTAATGCACATAAGTGCATTCACGACTCTAAGTAGGTAGGTCAGCAAGGCAACGAGAAGGAAGTCATCAAATGCAACGCTCAGATGCCGACGATGACACGACAAATCTATTCCGGACGCAAACTCCTTCTAAACAAACAGGATGATGACGTTTTGTTCGTTTTCAGACTAACAAGTCTCATGAGTCGCTAACAATATCGCCACCGCTATCATCAGCGCTTCTACAACCACCAGCGAGCGACAACAAATGTTTGAACTTTCCAACCGCCACTATGTAGGTATAATAAAATGATATCCCGATGTCTCATCATCATGGTAAACAACGAGACCGTAATTTATAATACTATAATTTTCCGCAAACACACACACACACGCAGTACTTTTCCAAGTGGATAATACCGGACAAATGGACAAATTATTTGATTTAAGAAGCTTCTAGATTTGCAATTAAAATTACCTAAAACATAATTATAGTGACTGTTGTCATAACCAACAGCAGCCAACAGATATAGCTAGTTTAAAAGCTCATGAGTTTTCGCACGCGCGAGAGACAGACATTTTTGCGATCGTGTTATACAATATGACTTTTAAACGAACGCTCCTTACTACAATAATAAGCAAGAACGGTGTAATACACACATAAATATCCAATGATTTCCGAACAAAGTAAAAAAGAAAAATGGTTTCACACTTCCTTTAAGTAGGAACATCATCAAGTTTAATAAATCGACTTACCTTTTTACCATCTAGCTCGTGTGTGCCTTGTGCTAATACCTTATCTACGCTAGATGGGTCTGCGAAGGTGATAAATCCGAAGCCCCTACAATAAACAAGAGAAAATCATAATCGCAGTTTGTCTATAAGGAAAACGTATGTAAAAAAGCCTTCACTTACTTGTCAGAATATATATACAGTCTCTAGTTAATTCTTAAATGTTAAATTTAAATGTGTATTCATTTATTTCGGTTTAGATTTATTTATTATTTATATTGAAAAGGCCATTCTGACAAAAAAGCGAAAGAATTAAAAGGCATTGCTACATTATCATTTTCTAACAGAGAGTATGTTGAGGAGGGGGTAAAGGACACTACGAGGCAGCTACGTTTTGTGTTTTTATATACAGCACAACATCAAGCAGCACGCTGTAGAAGAAAAATTCGACCCTGCCTTTTAATTGATTTTAAAATTAAATCATAAATTCGACGATGTAATTCACAACAAAAAAAAATCAATAAAAAAGATGCTTTTATAGTTTCGAAAGCGCTTCGGGCTTCCGTATTATCAGATCTGTGTAATTAATAAAAAACAAACTTAAAATATATCACAAGTTTTTACATATTTCTCGATAAATAGTTTGTTGATACACACAAATCATAAATATCATGCTTTTTGAATTATTTTATGGTTCTTTAAAGTTCTTATTTCTGTAAAAATATTACAATAGACAAGTACTAAATTTGGACATTTTTGGTTAATTTGCTTTGATATATTTTATGACAACTTAAGAAAATTTATAAAATAAAGTGTTCAAAACTTTTTCGAATACATACATAATTGCGTCATACGATATTTTAAGATAACATGATCACATACAAACAAAAACGAGTGTTATACTGTTATACTTATCCTAGACAAAAGTAACAATGATATCAATGAACAAAAATCTTCACCAACGATAATAAATTATTAACAAAACAATTCAAGAAATTTAAGGAGTGAAAAATATTTTAATTAATATTTAATTACACCCACGTTTCGCTTTATAATATCTACTTCTATAATTTACCCTGAAGAAGATTTAACATCAGAAAGGGAAGCGTCGGTGTGACTATATATTAAATAAAACATTTTTCAGCCCTTACATTGTCCTGTTAATAATTATTGGGGGAAAAAATACGAAGGCGTATTATTCTGGAATTAGTATGAATAATTTTATTAACTACTGTTTGGTACTGCCACTGACTAAATGGGTTTAGAAAACCCTTTACTAAATATTACGTTTTTGTAACCTTCAGTGAATGCACACCGTATTTTTAAGATACTAATTAGCATACGTACGTGTATTTTGCGAGACTTTTTTCAAAATATTTTCAACCTCACTGAAAACTTATTAATTCAACTAGCAATTGGCTTAATATGGCTCACGCAGTGACATTTTAAAACAAATAATTCCCCTTTTCTAGATCTTTTAGTCTGACCACAACATACATAATCTTAATCAATTTTATAAATATATCTTATCCTAAAGAAATAACATCACTTTTTGGTATATTACCTCACGCCGTGACATTTTAAAACAAACTATTCCCATATTTTATATCTACATAATTTTTTCATTTTTAGGATGACCACAATATACACAATTTTAACCCATTTTCATCGGAAAATTTTGTAAAAAGCAGTAATTTCAAGAAATAATCATTCATACATCTTATCTTAAAGAAATAACGTCACTTTTTGGTATATCACTTCACCGTATTATTTATACGTTTAGTTGTTTTTTAATTTCCATGATTGTCGATAATATACCAAAACGACGATGGCAGGTTCGAACTTTTCCTCCGGCGTGCTCACCAAGCACACATACCTGGGCACCAGGAGTCGGGGAGCGCCAGTGACCGGGATCCCTAGGGGAGCCGGTGCCTCAACAACGTTGCTGAAAGAGACACACTCTTCAAACCTTTCCTCTTTACAGTGACACTTGCACGTCTACCTCTAGTCAAGCAACTAACTTCTACTAACGTACACATATTTTAAAACAAGACTGTGATTTAAAATGAGACATAGGAAGGTCAAGCTTTAAGGAAGGTAACGGATAGACAGGATATTTTGCGCAAATCATCTTAAAATATTCCCAACCAAACATGTTACTATATCAAATAATATATTGTCACAACGATAAACCCAATAGAAATGAATAGTCTGTCAATCATTTTTCGTCCTTCGAGCCGGATACTTGTGAAAGGATTACCACAAAATAAGGATTAAAACCATCCAGCTCTGCAGCAGCCAGTCCAGGTCTACAGTGATCCTTACATTGGACATTGACACCGGAGACTGTTTTTTTGGTAAGCTCCTTGTAAACTATCACCAACCCTACATATTAAGTAATTTCTTGTATATTCTTCTTTACTAACAAACTGCGCAATTATCCATTGACCGAGATCTTCTACAAACAAAGCTTAAATTTAAAATGCATTTTGCGAACATCTACGAAATATTTGAAAGGATCGCCGGATCAGATGCAGAAACACAAGAAGCACGAGAGAGTGAGGTAGAAAACATCGAAGACGACTTTGATATGGTTATCACAGATGTAGCTCGTGTTATAACAGATAATAAGCAAAACATACCCCGATCTTTTCCAACCGATAATTCACCGTCTACTCGTTTAAATAGTGCCAGAAAAAAATTAACCAAATTTAATGGCGCGATCGAAAATTGGCATTCTTTTTACGACGAATGTAGATTCGAATGAGCTAATTTCAGAGTTAGATAAATTTTATTATCTAAAAAATTCGCTTACTGGTAAAGCGGCACAAATGATAAACGCTATAGAGTATCCGGCTCGAAGGACCAAAACTGTTGTCGCCTTAGTTTGACGACTTATATGAATACACTTTTTTGTATGGCACGAAAAGCCTCGATAAAGATAAATGCTCGATATGTTTAAGACTATTTATTAACATTAAACGACCGAATTCAAAGCACAACATTTAAGACAGTAGACTAATAAACTTCACAAAAATGATGATAGAAATTAATTGAATTTAGTGGATGCCCAAAAAAATAATCAATTCTGACAGAAAATTGTGAAAAAGCAAAACTGTGTGTACAACCGACCCAAAAAGACTGTTGCTACGCAATATAGTCCTCGATATTAGTTAGTGAAAACGCCTTCTAATTAGGTATCATATATTTGCCGTGATATTGATAATGTCTTCAAAAGTTTTGCAAACGATAAGACTTCCCGATTTAGTGTTACCGTACAAAAACTGGTGTCACACGACAACAGCAACAAATATCCCTCATTAACCTGAGGTAGTTTATGTAGTGGGTAAGAAATTCAAAATGAATTTTCACATTAATAAATGAGAATAATTAAACAATAGCTGACATACAAAGCACCCAAAATTGTAATTGTTATTGCAGTTTCAATTCAATTTATTTTAGTTGTCGTTTCATATCCAATTATACCTACTCACGATCAGTTTACTTTACTAAAATGGCTTCTAGTTATGAAGCTGTACGAACAGTACGAATGACGTGGAGATGAGCAATTATTGTTCCCCATAATTCGAAAGAGCACGAGAAAGCAAAATAATCAGGCCGAATTAATTATACGTATGTTTAAACATTTCTGCGTATTTTCCGTCACAAAATGCCCGTTTTAGGATACAACGAATCAAATTGAAATAATCCTATTACAGAGCTGCTCGGCGTGTGACATAGTGTCGCTGGCGGAACGGCTGCTAAATGATTCCATGTAATATGGATCAGAGACATATTTATGTCTATGTGTCTGTTTACGAACATGTATACATGCTACATACGTATATATATATACAATATACTCACATATATATATGTATATTGCACGTGCTTAGGCATTCGCTACGTACCGATTGAATTACTCAATATGCGGCTAATTATGTTTGCCACAGCAAAAGCTTAACGTTAAACCATGGCAACCAGCACCTTGGAATATCTCGGGTATTGATTATTACATGCTTTAAACGGGTCTCCCAGACGGAAAGGTACATAGATCCATAATAATGTGAGGATAAAATTTAAAATCTCAAAAATTGTGGCCAAATTAGAGCAAAACCAAGGACAAATACTGTTAGATACGAATATTATACGGATTCAATAAATTTAGATTCAGGTTACTACTATAATGTAGTCCTAAGACCGGTTGGATACGCACCTTCACTCTTTCTGATCCTGAGCTAATCTTCGGATTTCCCTAAAACTAGAACAACCCACATTCTTAACTATTTGTGAAAGTAATCTAATCTAGGTCTACCTCTGCTCCTATTTCTGCATCTAATACCTCTGAATAGACCTTCATGCTTGAGAAGATGTCCTACCAACCTATCTCGCCTATTTTTTATTGACTTCCATAGAGTCCTCTGTTCTCCTATTCTTTCTAATACCTCTTAATTTATAACCTGCTCTATCCACGGTATCCTCATCATTCGCCTGTAACCTTTTCTTTTCCGCCGCGCCCACCGTCCATGTTTCGGACGTACAGCACCGCTCTCCATACATAAGTGACTTCCTTTTATTGAAAGCAACTTGATCCTGCGCTATCCCCACTAATCCTTCCGTCCTGACTTATCTGACTTTCTAGATACCTATCTCCTCTCTTTATATTCGCTCTTTTCCTACTTTTTCTTCCCTTGCATACATATGTCCAATTAAAATTACAATCTAAACCCTACCACGTAATAGATTCATGTGTAGGTCAGTTAGCAATCTTATATGATAAATAGTGAGATTCGGAAACTGGCATCATTCAAAATATCAATCAGAAGTGAACAGCTATTATGATGAATCTGACTGATTATGAAATTAATTTCCAATCTTCACTATTTAAGGGTCGACCAATATCGATTTCCGAACCGCACAGTTTAAGGGATCGTTAACTTACTATTAACCATATAGTAGGCCTATATAGTCATTAATAATACTACTAATTAATTATTAATTAATAGACCATTGTAAACAACTGTGGTATCGTCACGTAAACACTACACCCGCCTTCTACCTTTTTCTTTTGTTCTTTCTACCGTCGATTGTCATTATAGTTAGCAGATTGTTATTTCCGTGTCCAAAAAATTGCATTCTTTACAATACTTTTATGCGTCGATTTCGCGCAGAGAATAATATCTAGGTCCGTCATAAATCCTGAAACCATTAACGAGATACACTGACAAATGAGATTTGAATTTACGTATTTACCATTCATTCCTTGTATAATTTAAACTTCTGTCGTTCTAACCGTGAGAGAAACTAGATCTGCTCCAGTCAGTATTCTAAAGTACTTGTGTAGTTTTGCTCGATAGCTGTTTTCCCTTTGCTATCAAATTAAACTACTAATCCGTAAATTGAAAAGTTTCAGCGCAACACGACGTAGTTTTCATACATGCATAGATCGTACCTATAGGTACGGTTACTTATAAAAGCCGCAGACAGCAAGCAGAAACAACAATTACAACGGTTAACGTTTGGAGACCAGGGAAATAGAGAGAGAGAAAACCAAATCCGGCCGAATTGTATTAAGTAGGTATTGTTTTCTAAAGGACTTGTTACTTAAACGACGTTGAATTATAATTTTCCTTCGTCGACTGAGTCGAAGCCTGAATCTCCGAATGTGTAACCGGTTGAATACTACCAACAAGACTTACTGTAAGCTTTACGCGACGATCGCCTTTCAGAACATACACTGGACAACGGAGAGCCGTTACCAGAGCAAATATTTAAAAAACTAAACAGGTAATTCAGTAGTTTATGGAAAGATATGAGCTTATTGAATATCATCATCATAAGATCGTCAGTCCTAATAAGACTGGTTGGACACGCACCTCCTCACTTTCCTATCCTGAGCTAATCTTCGCATTTCTCTAAAACTAGAACAACCCACATTATTAACTATTTGCGAACAGTAATCTAATCTAAGTATACCTCTACCTCTCCTAACTCCAGTTTCTGCCTCTAATACGTCTCTGACTAGACTTCCATGCCTGAGAATGTGTCCTACAAACCTATTTCGCCTATTTCTTTATTTCTAACATTCTCTATTCACGGTATCCTCATCATTCACCTGTAACACCACATTTCAAACGCTTCTAACCTTTTCTTTTCCGCCGCGCCCATAGTCCATGTTTCGCACCCGTACAGCGCTGCGCTCCAGACATATGCCTTTAACAATCTCATTCGAATTTCTAAATTAACTGTTCGCGAGCATAAAAGAGACTTCGTTTTATTGAAGGCGACTCTGCCCTACGCTATCCTCTGCTTTATATCCGTACTACTCCTTCCGTCCTGACTTATCTAACTTCCTAGATCCTAAAATCTGCCACTTCTTCTAATTTTTCATCTCCTATCTTTATATTCGCTTTCTCCCTACTTTTTCATTCCTTGCATACCAGTATTTTTGTTTTACATTTATATAATTTTGTACAATATTGTTTTGTCAAAACCGCTTCAATATTGTCTAAAGCTATCTCTAACTCCTCATTGCTAAATGTCAATACTGCTATATCATTTGCAAATCTAAGAAGAACTAATCTTTTGCCCCTGTATATCTGTCTCTACAGTTGTGCTGTTTTTAATGATGCTTTCTAAACTACATTGAGAACTGAAGACAATCTAGGAGGCAGAATACGAAATTCTTGAGTAAGGAATACAATTTAAAGTAACAAAAATCCATTTACTTGAAAAAGCTACTGCTAAAATTTGCTTTGATAAAAGTTACCGAAGAACTTAATATTTATTATTCCTTCACTGCAATGTAAACATTAATTACGTATGCGATGTAAAGACTCCCATGCCTATATTAGCATACAATCTTCGTTAATTGATTGAATCGACACTGGCCCTTAACTGTACTTTCAAATACGATTTTCTGGGAAAACGGCGGACTTTAGGATC